CAAAAATGGCTTACAAGTTCCTAGACCACACAGAGGTATTATACGGTGTTCTGATGAGATTTGTTCTTGCTGGAGAGACAAGGATAGCCCTGGGATAAGAGCAAGCGCTTCCCAAGACCCTGATCTTAAGTGACATTGTGCATTTAGGAAAACCTTTCCTCTCTTTCTTTTTTTTTTTTTCAATTTTATTTCCAGCCTATGAAGAAGATAACAAAGGATGGTATGTCCCCAGAGCACACTCTGATGTGTCACTGTGGATGCCAATCCCCACAGACGCTCCCGATGTTATTAATTTTTAAAACAAACTTGCTGATTGAGGTTCTGACTGCCTTTAAATTGTCTCTACAAGGAGACTGTGTACTAATTAACCCACAGAAACAATCAATGATGTACCTTTTTCAAGTTTCAGGGTGATTAGAATATGAAAATGAAGAGCACAATGGTGCAGATGTTTTAAAATCACAGCAGACAGCAATTAGTGACATGGGAACCAGCTGCTTATCTCTCCAGATAAAGCCTCTTAATAGGGAATTACACTTGAGGAGCCATTACACAGATGGATCTGCAATGATTTAAAGAGGGGGCGTTGTAGTATTAACTTTGATTTGCAAGCCAGATTCTTGACAAGCTTTATGTGTGTTACCTCCTCAAAAAGGTGCATTTGGAGCAGGGAGGGACCACTCCTTTAATCACTCAGATTTTTTTTTCCAGGTGATGGGTTTCTCTAACTGTGTATTTTATCATTATTAATAGTTTTATTCTGTCTTATTTTGATATTATTATTATTATCATTATTATTATTATTTTATTAGGCTCTTGATTAGGTTGTTGTCATCTTCTCCTACTTTTTTTGCTTTGGGACTGGAAGCAGCATGTGGATTTAGATGGAAGCTCAGTCAAGGGAATGGGGAGGCAGACTGAGACATTCAGTAGTTAAATGAAGAATCCCTGAGGAATGAATTCTGCTGCTGGTAACTATTTACAGAGTAGGGTGCTGCTCCTCATGGGACTGATACAATCTCGTCTCCCCAGCTGCAAGGGCTGCTTACCAGAATAAAACTGTTATGGGGAGTAATCACCCCTTCAGGTGCAGGGTTTCAGAGATCTGGCAAGGCAGGTGTAAGCACACAGTGTAAAACCTCTCCTTCTCTCTGACCAGTGTTCACTAGTCACCAGGGTATGAGATGTATCCTGCTTATAGGTCTACCCACCATTGCCAAAGCTGAGGGCTGAGGCACAGGAGTTTGTCATTCAACTCATATACTACTAATAAGAGGATTCAAATTTTGTTTTGCCTAGTCTGAGGTTTAGCATGTGCTGGATCACATTGCTCAAGCTTCTTTGCAGTTAGGAAAGCTACCCTCTTCTTTGTGTGTATTTTATTTTATTTAAAGGGAAGACAGAATTATTAACCTACTAAACACTTCCAGTAAACTGCATATCAGGAGAAGTGTTGACCAAGTATGGAGAAATGTAGTAAAATTACATGGCTTAATTTACACTTCTACTTCCACAAAAGAAGGAGAAGCACATTCCTAGTGCAGAATAGCTGGCTGCAGAAGAAAATCCCATTTAATGAAAGGGCAAGCTACAAGCAGAGGCACAACTACTGAAGTTTGAAGAACTTTTAGGGCCTCATAAACCAAAGAGTAAATAAAGGTAAATCTTTCTGTTTTCATGAAAAAAACCCCACTATTCCTGATGCTAGTCTTGGCTGGCTGCCACAGGAACTCTATTCAAGTCAACAGCCCCTTGCCAAGACCTATAGAGCTGGAGTATATTTCACACTTACTGACAAATTCAGTAATGAATTTGTGTGAAAGGCACCAAGATACAGGTTTCTGCCCTCACCCTCCTGACAGCTGTGACATCCTCTGTCAGCTCAGCAGAGTCTTGGCTTAGCTGAGCTGAGGCTTGTTGGCTTCATGGGATGGTGCTTGCCCAGCAGGGAAAATTGAAGCCTAAACATTAGGACCAATGGGATCAGACAGCAAGCTAGATGGGTACACAGGGAATAAAATACATAGGGCTGTATTACTTTCAACTGATTTAGTAGTGTTTTTAGGTAAATCCAATGCAGCTAGTGAAATCCAACCTGCTGCAGCCAAATATAATCTGTGGCTGCTGGGCTGCAGAAGAATTATTTTTGTGTGATATGGATGTCTCTGGCAAGGTAGAGCCAACAGTAAATGTGGTGCTGGAAGAAGTTTCATGGGGAAGCCCAGCAGACTGTTGTGTGCCTGGGCAGATATATAGTTCTGACATCCTGCTGAGGAAATGGAGTCCCCTGATCCTGCAGACTGGTCATTTTTTGAAGGCCTGTTGAAATCAGAGTGCTTATCCATGTGATTAAATGCCTCCAGAGTTGGCACCTTTGATGACATAGGCATATCTCTCTCATGAATTTTAAGATCGATGTGGTGGTGTCTCGTGCTGCTTGAGTAATGACAGGGCTATCATTAGGGATGTGTTGGGACTTGCATCATCACTATATAACGTGCAGGCCAAGGAAATGAGGCTGGAGGAGCCAAGCCATATATCAGCATTCATTGCTGATCTATAGCTGGCTTCTCTGTTCTGAGCCCTTATTAACTGCCTTAAAATACAGATCAGGCATTATTGCTCTTTTTAAACTATGGATCCCTGTGTGCGTGGTAGATATGGAAGGACCAGGGTGGTGCCAGCATGTCATGTTTTTTCTCACTGCTGTAACCCTCTTTCTTATCTTTTTGGTTTTGTTGTTTTTTTTTTTCCTCTTCCAAATGAAATTTTTCAGGTCATTTAATTTCATGGCTCAGCATCTGGGAAATAATGTGGGTGTAAGGAGATGCTTTGACTGCAGCCATCAGGCTGGGATCTGTTCGGAAACAGCCTGGTCTTGCCTTAGTGTGGGTCCTGGGGCCCGTGAGAGCCCTCAGCCCAGAATTTCCAGGGCTTTTTGACATTAAAAATCAGGGTACCTCAGGAAGATGATTTTTTATATGAGGCTGGAATGGAAGGCAACCACTTCCAGCTCCCTGGGACCTCACCAGGGGGTGGCCATGTCCTACACCCTCCTTGTGCCCAGCTGACAGGACACGTAGCCTAGTGGCTAGGGGGCAGGAGAAGCCCCAAATGGCAGATCTCAGGAGCTTTGGGATCAGTTTAAAATAATCAAAATAAAAACAAGCTACAAAACTCCAGTGCTGGGGCTGCTGGTTTCCTTTCCACCCCTCCCTGGCCTCATCTCAAGATGTGGGTTTGGGTGGGCTCCCTTTTCCAGGGGAGGGCATCAGCCTCCGTCGTGGCCACTGCGTGCTGCTTGGCTCATGCATGGGAGGGCCACTGCAAGGAGGAGGAGGAGGAGGAGGAACTGATTCACTCCCCAAGGGCTGTTTATGCTTTCGGCTCTTCTCTCAGGCTGAGGAAACTGGGTGTCGCTTGCCCGCGACATCTGCAGCTCCACCGCAGCTGCATGCTTTCGTTTTCTCACTCCACAATTCCTGGAAATCTCTGTTTTCCCTGAGCATGGCTGGTCCATGTGCATGACAGCTGAACTATCTGCAGGATTTAAGAGTCCCTGATTGCTTCTCAGACAATGGACCAGAACAGCTTCGTCGTTATTGCCTGTTCCAGGAAAGCCACATGTCCATTTTTATATGCACATGAGAGATAGCTCAACGTCATTTTGTCAATAACATGTATGTTTAGTGGTCACTACATAAAGCACTGTGGGCTTGGGGGTGTTTAGTCCTTTTCAAATCTCTCTGAAGTTGCTCAGAAGTAGGGACACCTCATTTCCCAGCTCAAAGCCCTCTTATGCTCTTCTGCTTCCTTGTCCCAAAATTTCTGCTGCAAACATCCCAAAGAGGGCTCTAACAAAAGGCTACTGATAGAAACTTACTTGTAAGAGGGTGTTTGCAGGAGCATGAGACACTTAGCAGTTGTTTTTTATCATTCTTTCCTTGGCTACACATTTATTTTAAGTCTCCCATCATTTATTTGACATTAAGAACAGTGTCAGTACTTGGTACACCCAGTTCTGTACAGCACTAGGTGTACAAAGTCACTTGTACAGTTTGACCCAGAGCTTTGCAAAATAAAAGCTCCTAAATGTAACATGAGAAAACGAGTCAATTAAAGAAAATAATTTTTTATTTTTTTTTTTTGCTTTTAAAAGACTTATCAAAAAGTTACAGCTGTAGTAAACAGAATTTCTTTAGCTGAAGGAGGCCCACCAAGAAAAAAAAGTGGACTTTCTTTTGCTCTGTAAGAACCTTCAGCTTAATTCTGCCCTTGCTGTAACCTCTGCGGGTTGAAGAGCTCCTGTCAGTTTAGAAATCACATTGAAAATATCTCTCACCAACATTGCAAATAGCAGATTATTAAAATGGAAAAGAAGTAATGCAAATCTTGAACCTGCCAAGTGGGCCTCACACACTTGACGCTATGCATATGATGTTAAGCACCAAGTTTGTGGGGATGGTTTCTATATGGAAATTCAAATAAATCTTTGAGGAATCGGTCTTCATAGGGAAGTGGATCCATGGGTTTTCCTCTTGTTTATTACAACTTCTAAGATAATTTTTTCAGTTTTCTTGTTTACAATAATGAGCTTAATTGCTGTTGTTAAGCCTCAAGTTCTGTGAGGGATTATTTTTAAGGAAAAGAGAATTCTCGCCAGGAGGTTGAGTTGCACCATTCATCCATTGAAAGGGAATATTTTACTTATGTTTCAAATTAAAAATCAATAGAAATGTTTCCTAGGCAATTTTGTATTTATAGAAATATTTCCACTGCTTTTAGAGTGGAGAAACCAAAAAAAACTTGTTTACTGTGCATGAATCTAAATGCAAATTTGGCTCAAGTATAAGAACACTTTATAAAAGTTCCTAACTCTTACAAGGACATTGGTTAAGAAGAGTTGTCATTCACTGCACAAATAAAGAGCTGCAACCAGGGGTTATGAATAGACTGATAAACTAATTTTTTTTTCCTATTTCCTTTCTGCTACCTTCCAGGTTTATGACAGGCCACAGAAACATTCTGCTCTGCACTATGATTCGGGCCTTCAACAAGACTTCACCAGTGACACCTTAAAATCAAAGCACCAGCAAAAAAGTAGCAACCAGCACCATCTTGACTGGTCAGCGAGCCCCGATACCGGATCCGCTTCTCAAAGTTGTTTCATCAACACAGAACCCAGCAGGGAAGCAGTTAGTGCCACCAAGGTCTCTGCTCTGGAGCCAGGAGTTCCCTTCAGCAAATCCCAGGCCAAAAAGTCCTGCAGCAGCAGCAGCACGTGGGGGCAGCTGTCAGTCAGTAGTAAAGAGCTTGGTATTTGCAGTGCAGTCCCGTCACCCAGCGGCATCAGCGTGGCCGCCCAGCCGAGCAGTGCCTCCGACTGCAGTGGGCTTTTGCCTCTTGGGGATCCAGAGGGAGGTGTGCAGCTGGAGGCCCCTGACCAGCCCGCTGGAAGTACGAAGAAGAAGTCCAACAAAAAGGACTTGATAAGTCAGACCATCCATACCACGGACATGGAGTGGGTGAAGAGTGCCCAGAAAGCATTTGACAGCAAATCCCATGACAGCATGGAAGGGAAAAAGGAGTCTTACTCGATGGACAGCTTGTTGGATACATCACCCTCAAAGCAGAATCCCATTTCTGCTAGCAGTTGTGAAAGTGACACCAGTCATGTACGAATTACTATCCCAATAAAGTCTCCGACGACAGATGCATCTGGCCACAAAAGGAAAAAAAGGCAATCCATAAAATCTTCTATAGAGAAAACTATCCAGGAGAAAAGTCTGCCTTCTGTACTTACTATGAGCAGTGAAATAGCAAACAGGACTAGCTCTCAATCAGAGGCGAGTAAAAAAGATCTTCGAGCCTCAAAGCCGGGGAAAGTGATAGAAAACGAGTCCCCATTAGTATCTATTGACAGCAGTGTGTTCACTGACAAAGCTTCCCCCAACAGTGCCGCCAGAGTCAGAAAACCTCTAGCAGTGACATCCACTCTCCTGCCCACCGACCTTTCCACAGCTGGCAAATTATCTGAAGTCCAGCACCCCAAACACGCAGCTAAGCGGCGATGGACCTGCAGCAAACCTAAATCTATCCTTCGGGAGGCCTCCATGACAACATCTGAGAAGCTGATGGTGGAGCCTCCCTCAGCCTATCCCATCACACCATCCAGCCCTCTGTACACCAATACAGACAGTCTTACTGTGATCACGCCTGTCAAGAAAAAAAGAGGACGACCAAAGAAACAGCCTTTGCTCACTGTTGAGACCATTCACGAGGGAACCTCCACCAGCCCAGTGAGTCCAATCAATCGTGAATTTCCAGGAACAAAGAAAAGGAAGAGGAGAAGGAATCTGGCCAAGTTGGCCCAGATGGTCCCAGGAGAGGACAAGTCCATCAGTGAACTTAAGTTTCACAAAAAGGTCGGGAAGCTTGGAGTCTTGGATAAGAAGACCATCAAGACCATTAATAAAATGAAAACTCTTAAGAGGAAGAATATTCTCAATCAGATCTTGTCCTCCTGCTCCAGCAGCATAGCTCTGAAAGCAAAAGTCCAGCCACCATCTAGTGCTGGGCCAACCACCATTGATGCCAGACTAGGGAAGCAGATCAATGTTAGCAAGAGGGGGACTATCTACATTGGTAAAAAACGAGGCAGAAAGCCAAGGGCAGAGCTGCAGACTCAGCCAGAAGAACCTAAGACAGCCATCAAGCACTCAAGGCCTGTTTCCAGCCAGCCAGAAAACCCAGCAGTGCCTTCCAACCTGCAGTCACTTGTGGCATCGTCACCAGCAGCTATTCATCCGCTTTCGACACAGGTAGTGGGGACTAACGGCAACCTTAGCCCTGCAAGCACTGAAACAAATTTTTCAGAGTTAAAAACTATGCCAAATCTTCAACCTATCAGTGCTCTTCCTACAAAAACCCAGAAAGGAATGCACAGTGGAACTTGGAAGCTGTCTCCACCCAGGCTAATGGCTAATTCACCTTCCCACCTCTGTGAAATAGGTTCTCTGAAAGAAGTCACGCTGTCGCCAGTGAGCGAGTCTCACAGCGAGGAAACCATCCCGAGCGACAGTGGGATAGGTACAGACAACAACAGCACCTCTGACCAGGCCGAGAAAAGCTCAGAGTCCCGCCGGAGATACTCCTTTGATTTCTGCACCCTGGACAATCCAGAGGCTATCCCATCTGACACCAGCACAAAGAACAGGCATGGTCACCGGCAGAAGCATCTCATTGTGGATAACTTTCTCTCTCATGAGAGTATTAAAAAGCCAAAGCACAAGAGGAAAAGGAAAAGCCTGCAGAACAGAGATGACCTCCAGTTTCTGGCAGACCTTGAGGAACTCATCAATAAGTTCCAAGTGTTCAGGATTTCCCATAGAAGCTATACATTTTATCATGAAAATCCATATCCCAGCATCTTCAGGATTAATTTTGATCACTACTACCCTGTGCCATATATCCAGTATGACCCATTGCTCTATCTTCGCAGGACCTCTGACATGAAGTCTAAGAAGAAGCGTGGTAGACCTGCCAAAACCAATGACACCATGACAAAGGTGCCTTTTTTACAAGGGTTCGGTTACCCTATTCCCAGTGGGAGTTACTATGCACCCTATGGAATGCCTTACACATCAATGCCTATGATGAATCTTGGTTACTACGGTCAGTACCCAGCTCCTTTGTACCTGTCTCACACGCTCGGAGCGGCTTCCCCATTTATGAGACCTACCGTGCCCCCACCCCAGTTCCATGCAAGCTCTCATATGAAGATGTCCACCACTGCCAAACACAAAGCGAAACACGGAGTGCACCTACAAACCCCTGTGGGAATGGGCCTTGGAGACATGCAGTCCCCTTTAGCTCCTCCAAAGGTTGGAGGGACGAGCCTTTCAAGTGGCCGACTTCACAAAAGGAAACACAAACATAAGCACAAGCATAAGGATGAGCGGATACTGGGGACACATGAAGATCTGAGTGGTCTCTTCGCCAGCAAGTCCACTGGCTTCTCCAGCCATGCCATGAATGAAAGGCTGAGTGGCTCAGACAAAGACCTCTCCTTGCTCAACGAGAAAAGCAAGCATAAGGAGAAGCAGAAGCACCAGCATTGTGAAACCGGGCACAAAGGCTCAAAGAGTAACTTTGAAGTGGATACACTGTCTACATTATCACTTTCTGATACCCAGCAGTGGTCACAGAGTAAAGATAAAAACGACTCAAGCAGTGATCCCATTGACTCTTGCACAAAGAGATACTCTGGTAATACTGAGAGTAATGGAAGGTCAGAGTCCCTGGACATGTTTGGTGAAATGAATTCCTCAAGTGAGAAGCGGGACAATGATGCAAGTGGGAATAAAAGAAGAAGCTTTGAAGGGTTTGGAACTTACAGGGAAAAGGACATTCAGCCCTTCAGGACAAATAAGAAGGACAGAAGTACTTACGATTCTTCAGCCTCTTCAGGTAAGCTCTGCTTTATTCTGTTTTACCTTACTGCATGTAAATTTCTGTGCTGAATGAAGAGGAACTCGTCATTTACAGCAAATATATTTATGAGTCAATAACTTCTCTGGGTTTTTGTAACTGACTGCTATTCTTCGTCCAAACCTTGGGGACGTCAACAGGGAAGTTGGCCACACCTCAAGCCCAAAAATTTAAAACTCTTTGAGATGTTACACAGCAGTTTGATAAATATTTGTCCTGCCTTCAGCTGTCTCTCATAGCTTGTTGTGCTTCCTCCAAAAGTCTCACCATTGCATTCTGCAACAACAATTGGCAAGGTAGGCACCTGTTGGCAAGGTAGACATTTCTCTGATTGGTGTCTAATGTCTACCACATTAGACACCATGTGGTAGTTGCTGTCCAGCCTTTGGGAGAAGAGCAAACAGTCTCAGCTCTGGCCTCTCAAATGATCAAAACCCATTTGTTGATAGGACAGACCAGACACGTGGGAAGTTGTGAAGCTCTCCCATGACAGGTGTAGTGTACTACTGATCCAGAGGAACCCATCATGCTGATGGCTGGGCTGAATACATGGAGATCTGGGTACAATCCTAGTGTAAATCTGTCACATCCAGTCAGCAGGTGTCATGTAAAGTAATTATGTGAGCATTGAGTGGCTGTGGGAAGGGACTGGTGTTATGGAAACAATAAACCCTCACCAATTGACTCTGAAGAGTTTTAGGTCTCATGACTTGGAAATATAAGCTGGGCAGATGAAGAGGGAGGAAGCTGCTTTTGGCTGCAAGGACATCTGTTCCTCTCCTGCAGAGGGGGAAAAAAGGGAATCTGAATCTTGTCTGAGAGACTGAATTGTACTTTACAATGGGGAGCTGCTTTTGTGATGACACAGAGGCAGGTGTTTTGCTACAGTATAAATGAATTTAGCTTGGGAGCCAGCCCAGTGCTCCTGCACCATCAGATATTTATCACAAAGCAGATTTCACACTTGGTTCTGGAAAAGGGCGAGCTTTACTGAACCAATCAGTGGTGGATGAGATTCTGAAGTGCTAAAAAAGAGCTTCAAAGAAAAGTAGTTCATAGCCTTCAAAATGAAAAGAGAATCAACTGAGAGCACAGGGAGCAGAGAATTTGTATAACCTGCCAATGTAAGGCTCTAAAGTTTTTTATTGACTTGTAACTGATCAAGTTCCAGCGACTGCTCGTGCTTAAGCCACCTAGATATATCCATTTCTTTCACTGAGACCAGGATCTGGACTGTAATAGTGAAAAGCAGTCTGAAATGAGAGATCACACCATGAAAACATTTTCATTCATAATATCGTATTATATTAGATCAGTTGAGACACCCAAAAATGACACATCTAAAAATACTGGAAAAGAGACTGAAGTCAGTTTCTGAGCATCAGAGTTTCTACGTGCCTGACAAAGAACAAAAGTATTCTCCACCAAGTGCTGCAGTGGCTGTTTCATTAAGGACAATGCACAATTGCATTGTGTCCTAGCAGAGAGGATTAAAAGTCTTCAAGATGTTTAACATGTCTGTTTCTTAATTTTTTTTAATGGAAGTTCACAGTTTTCACAGTCTGATAACAGTTGGATCTATAGCCTTTTTGCTTTTTGAGCAGAAGATGCTTGCTAAACCTGTACTTTCCAATTGAATGTATTTTACTTAGTCATAGAAAATTCTCTGTCAAAATTCTCAGCACTGTTGAACTTAAATGAGTTACCAAAGTAGAGGCATGACCCCCCAGCAGGCTGACTTGAAAATAGAATTAGTAAAGAAAAAGTCCATTTCATGTTATTTTCCTTCAGTTTGTTCCCCGTGATGATAGAATTGTAAAAAGGATGGGTAAATCTTGCAGTAGGAGCTCAATTAGATTTGCTGTTTAAACTTTTTAAACTGGTCCACATTTAAACTAAAATTATTGTTTTTCTTTATTTTTTCCTTTTCATGATTACAGCTGCACATCATTCCCCATGACCCAATCCATCAAGTCTCAGATTATTAATTTGTTTCTTCATTGTCATCCCATTACTTAGATGGAAAAATCATCAGCAGTTAGCTAAGCAGAGCCAGATAACCAGAGCCTTACCTTGTACTACAAGGAAAAGTACTAAAACTAAACAGCTCTGCCAAGAAAGGCCTGGAGCCAAGGCTGCTCATTAAAGCCTATGAACATCTGTCTGCTTCTAAGTGCCTAAGATCTCAGTGCAGCTTTATTTCCTCTCTGCCTTTGACCTTCACTGGGATTCCCAACAGAGGTCCGCACTTGAGTCTAGCCATAACTATTAACCAGTTCCCACAGAGAGGGGATTACACTTTTCCGTGATAACCTTGACCTTCTTTCTCCTAATTCACCTTGCGTTTCCCTGAGGTGGTTAAAAAGTGATTGACTAATCAGAAAAATAAAAGGTAAAAGAAAAAAAAAGCCTTGTGAGAACACATATGTCTGTCCCAGGAGGTGACTTCCTGATTGCTCTTTCCTTTTTGTGTTTGTCATCTTTCACTGCGTAAAAATAATATATAACAGAGATAAGAGGAGACATCCTGAATATTCAGATGAAAACTGAAAATAGATTTATATCACAATTTCAGTGTTATCTTTACTGCACGGGCATCTTGGTATGCTCAGTAATGCCATTTGCAACTTCATTGCTTGTTGCTGGAGATGAAATATGGAGCAAAACCTATCCACAGTCAGTAGATATATCTGTGATAAGAGGGATGAGAGAACCATTTAGTGTTCTTTGGTGTTTGGGCATTGTGGTTTGTTTCAGTGTAGTGTGCAGATGCAGGTACAAACACTGTATGCTGTTATTTTTGTATTTTTATCTGTGTTGTAACAGCACTTAGCCATCTCTGAGAAATTTGGTGTTCCCTGGTGATATGTAGTGGTCTTGTATATGGCAGAAAACAGTGCTGTAGTACAGCCTTAAAGCCTATGTACAATTTTCTGTCTAGAAAGATATGGGATGTGAGGGGAAAGTTGTCCCTCTTACTTTTTGGAGAAGTAGATTGCCGTCCTGGCACAAGAAATGTGCCTGGCACAGATTGCCCGGAGAGAAATTATGGATGGCCCATCCCTGGAAGTTTTCAAGGCCAGGCTGGATTGGGGTTTGAGTAACCTGGTCTGGTGGAAGGTGTCCCTGCTCAATGCAGGAGGGTTGGAATTAGATGACTCTTAAAGGTCCCTTCCAACCAAACAATTCCATGATTCTGTGATTCGATGTAGAAATCTGTGCCAAGAGTGAAGTGTCACATTGAAGAGTGCCACCAGTCATCTTGGTTGGTCAGACCAAAAGTCCACTCCCTGTCCTGCACCTGCTTGGACTATCACTGGGCATTCATTAGGGGAGACCTTGTGAACTTTGACTCAGTTTCCATCTCTTGGAACCTCTTGGGGTTAAACACACCATGTCAATGCATAGGCAGTGCACTGCCTGTTTCTCCACTATTGTTCTGGAGAAACTGGAGTCCTTTCTATAAGTACTAATTAATAACTCTTCTCACCTTCCTTTCCACCCATTCCCCAAGACCTGTTACATCCTGCTGTCTTTTTCTGAAATTGCTGGTTTTGCCAAATTTCTTGTTCTTGCTCATCCACCTCTCCTGCGTTTAGAAAGACAAATTAATCAAAACTGATTAAAGAGCTTTTCTGTTTAGCTGAAGACTATTCCAGTGGCATTAGCCTGGCCTACAGGCAAGGATACAACAGAAAGTGTTTCAGATTCTGCCTTGCCACAGTCGTGATGTCACTTGGGCACCTCCTAAACTGAACTTTCAAGTTGTGTGCACCAAGGATTGGCTCAGTTGACTCCCTCCTTCCACTCCCCACAACCAGAGGTACATCTCATGCATTTACAAAATGTTTTTAGAGTCCCTCTAGCACTCTGTGACCCGAGGCACTATGCACAGATGGATGGCTGAGCCTTTCATCTGCATTCCATGAGTTACTAAAGCTCCAGGTGAGGGACCCAGGGAGAGGTCACAGATTGGTGCCACAGCTGGGCTGGGGAGACAGAGATTAGAGCTTTGATTTTATTAAAGAGGTCCTTATGGCAAACTCCACATCTCCTTGTCGTTTGTCTGCTTGTTTCACCTTTACACGTGGTGCTAGAGAAGAGACTTTCATTGCTGATGAGCAATCTCAATGCCATAGCTCATGCCTTGGAAAAAAAAAAAAGCGGGATTCGTTACCTCTTCCCTATTTCCTTGGGTGAAATAATGAGGAAGAGCACATTTAACATTTTAAGGTGCATAGATAAGATGGCAATTTGCATGTGTAACCTGTCAGATTATGTCCTAGTTACAATCACTGCGGACCAGGATGTAGCTGGAGGTGAAGCAGAGGTCAAGAGTCACTATATGCAGGACTGCATTTCTGCTTTTCTTTCTAGTGAGACTAATCAAGGTCTGTGCTACTTTGTTCTCACAGTATTTATGCCTCTTGGTTTTTTTAAATGATGATTATATAAGCAAAGACTGCCTTGCTTGCATACTGGGCATCATGGCTCAAAGATCAGCTAAGTCATCCATTGGTTTCATCAGATACAGCACAGACACCATCCACAGTACATTCACAGGAAAATTAAGTTAATCATATGCAACTATTAGGAAGGCAGTAACCATCAGTCTCTGAATGCTGGATAGTTTGCATGACAAACATGCTTTACAAATTAATGCTTAACTTACCTACAAGCTCCCCCCCCCCCCACCCCGCATGCCTTCCCCCCTCCATGTCCATCAGTGCTACAAGCTGATTTTTTCTGATTTAACCTTTCCTCCTCAGCTGGTTTGTACGGTGCTGGTTTACCCTTGGAGGGATCAGTATCAGCTTTAGATGGAGGGTGGGCATCACTCAATGAGTAGTGTGTGCCCTGTGACTTTTGAGGGAGAAGAGAGCCATACATACTAAATGGACAAATAAATGTATGTTGTATTCTTTGAAAGGCATTTTACAACATCTTTATCTTAAAATTGTCCTTATTCCTGTTAAAAA